GCACTGAAGAGATGAGCAGTAGGGTTTGTGTGTGGAAATGCTGCTGGCAGTCTGGTACTAAAACAAATAAACATGCTCCAGGCTTTGGCTGGGTAGGCAGTGTGTTCTTCAAAGACAGGTTGCCCATGCCCTGGTGCAGCGTGCCCTTCATCGGTGTTTGCAGTGCTGTTGGGCTAGTGAGGGTGAGAACAGCCTCACCTCCTCCTGCGTGTGCTGTGCCCGCAGTGCAGGGCAGCCACTGGCCAGCGAGCTTCAGCCCAGCCTGGCTCCGCTCTCCATTTGGGCCCCATGGTTTTGTCACGGGGTTTAGGAAGCGTGAGGCTGGTTTTGCAGTAGCACAGAGCTGCTCTTGTTGCTTTGATGAGCAGAGCCTCTCGAAGCCCCTCACCTCAGGCCCGGTAAAGCCAGCAAGATGTCTCCAGCCCCAGAAACTGCCCAGCTCAAACAGAGCAGCCTGTGTCTGGGTGAGGGCTGTCGAGGTTTGGAGCTGGAAGCGGTGGGAAGGGAGCACCCAGGAGCCTGCTGGCTGGCAGGTGGTAGTAGGGACATCACCCTGGGAAGGGCTGCTGGGGAAATCAGTTAGGCAAGACACAGTGTGCTTGGCAGAGGAGAGGAGAATCAGGAGATTAATGAAAAAGACAATCGTGTGGGCAAAACAAAGCACTGGGGCAGAGCGTGATGGATGAGGAAGGATCATTTTATGGATGACAGTGGAGTAAGGAGGAGGTTAACAACAATTTAAGGAATGGAAAACTTAATTTCTTAATCCCACCAGACCTTGAGACAACAAGTTAGAGTTCTGTGAGTGTAGTCCATAAAACAGCATAAACGCCACCAGGTTGCGTAGGCTGTGGAGGTGCTGCTGCTCCTTGCTGAGCAGAGCCAGGAGGGGTGCCCTGCCTGCTCGCTTCCCCTCACCCCTGCGCAGGAAAGCACCAAGGGACATGGAGGGTTTGGAAATTAGCACCTTAGCTTCTTGGCTCGCTCATACTGACTAGCTTAGGAACCTTCAGCACCTAAAAAAAAAATGCAAGTAAGTTGTTGTTAGGACGTTTCCACTTCAACTGGCCAGCAGTGTGCTGCAAGATACTTGTGGCTGTGCTGCCTGTGTCTGCAGCCGTACTTGTGTGACAGATCTGGTCGACTGACTGCGACCTAAGATTAACGCCTTCCCGTGTTGTCCGTGCCCCGCCGGGTAGATGATTTGAATGTTTTGGCAAAGGATTAGTAGGCACTCCAGTTCAAACTGTGCTCCAGAGCAGGCGTACTTACTCCTGGAGGTCTTTAGCATGCTGAGACACAGATAGTAGGATATCTGAAGTGAGCATGATGGAAATTAAGTAAGATCTTACGCAAATGCTATTTTGAGTGACTGTTTCCTGAGGACTGGGTTCTTCTCTGATAACGTTCGGTGCTGTCCCATGGAGGTCAGTGGCATGGCACCAGTTTGCATCAGCAGAAACAGGGCTGTGCCCTTTTCTGTCCCACAGACCGGATGTCTCTTTAGCTTTAACATTGTGTGTGTTTATCTTCCAAAGTTCAATTCCTCTGACTCAGTCTCTTAGCTGCTAGTAGAAAATCTCCCGTCCTGAGGAGGAAACCTGATGCAGAGTGAGAACTCTGGCTGGCCATGGAGGTGATGGAAGTGCCTGCAGCATCGCAGGCTGCCTGGGTAATCCCAGACAAATGGCTTAGTCCACCTACATGCCCCTTCCCCTTTAGGGAGAGCACTAAGGCTGTTTTTGTGTATTGTGAAGAAGTAGGATAACATAGTAAGTACAGCCCGGCGCACAAACTTATGAAAGAACCCAAGGACTAGCAAAATTGGGTATCTTGGGACTTACGTGGTAATTGCCACCTTGGATTTAGGAACTGAATGTCCACCTCAATCCTTCTGCAAGAGCTTGACTTTACGCAGAGAGCAGGGCTGGCGGGGGGGAAGCTGCATGTGCCTATAAGTGGCGAACAGCTTGGGTTTATCTCCTGCCTGAGCAGAGCTCAGCCTCCAGCGGGGCTCCGTCTGCCTGCTCTGCGAGGGCCGGTTTATCAGCCAGCTGGGGGTGTGAATTGCAATGGTCACTGGAGGTGCCAGCCTGAGGTACTTAACTCTCAACCTGTGGTGGGATGGGGAGTCAGGGCACTGAAGTTTAGAGCCTGGTTTCCACCCTAGAGTCAGATTTCCAAAAAATCAGCGTCCTCCTGCTCAGCATCGCTGTGCTGATGTCTCACTGAGGACATGACTGCTGGTGCTGCAAGGATGGGTGGGTCAGGATTCCGAGGCTCCCAGTTGAAATGGAGACGTACAAGGGCTGCTTCTTATTTAGCCACGTTCAGGAGCATGAATGTATGCCTCACCTTTGTGTAAGGAGGCTGAGGCCTTTGGGCTGATTCAGGAGGAATTAGTTCAGACAGCCTTTTTTATCTTTCTATGTAAAATTAGAGCTTTAAAGAAGTCCCAGGTTTCTCTTTAAATTCCTTGTTTATATCAGATCATATTTCTCCTTTTTGATACTCCTTTAAAATTAACGGCAGCGATGGCCAGCGGCAGAGTCGCAGCTGATGGCCAGTTGGATTTGTTTGCATTGCTGTGGAGAGGCAGGTAATAATTGCCAGGCAGACTCCAGACCTGTGGAGCCTCCAGGCTTTTGTTTGAGTTGGCCACGCTCTTCCTCCACAGTGTTTACATAAATCCAGCAGCAGCTTGTCCCTGCTCTCTGTACTCAGTCCATACCCCTTTTGTTCTCAGGGACTGAAATCTCTTGCAGGAGCCTGAAGTGGTCTCCCGGGCTGCGTTTCACCCTGCAGCACCTGCCTGTGGGGTTGGGGGTTCAGGCTGGCGCTGCAGGAAGGGCTGCTTTTTAGGGGAGACCAGTCAAATTGTGTAACATCATCGGAGCCGACGAAAAACCCTGACACAGGCGTCTGGGACATCTTTGCTTTTTGCTTGAGCCTGTAACGAAAAAGGGTGCAGCCTTTTGATGAGAAACAGCAGTGCTAACTTTAATCTTTTCAAATGTCCTGCAGAATGTATAACTCAGTATTTGATTTTCTGTTCACACATGGGCATCCCATGCACCGAAACACCAAGGCAGCCCAGTTTCTGCTCTTAGAGTCGAGTGCAATGTAGTTTATTCAACTGTATATGTCACAATACAAATATTGATTAAATATGTTAGTAAAGAGTGGGTTTGCTTTCTAATCCTAGAGAGGTTTGGGTTGGAAGGGACCTTTAAAGAGCTAGTTCAACCTCCCTGCCATTGGCAGGGACATCTTTCATTAGGTCGAGGTGGATGATAATGTAGGATTCTGATTTTAAACCTGATTGCTGTGAATGCGAACTTATCTTGCTCAGAAAGGATTCAGCTGTCTAACAGATTCCTGAGAGGATTAGCATCTGTGTAAAACTCAAGAAAGGGAGATATCATGAATAAAAAAAAAAAAACACGGAAGGAAAATAAAAAATAAAAAGAAAAAAGCACAGCAACGTAACTGAAGAGAGAGGTGACAGTGCCATCCATCGCTGTCATCCGGTGGCCTGGATGACATCCTGAGGTCCTTCACCAGCTCTGACTCTTGTGTCTCTAATGACTGAAAACTGGATGTGTAACAGGCTGTTGCAGAGGGACTTGCTGACTGGAAGTCTGTTCACATTCAGGAACCACGCCGGGAATAGTTTTAGGTAGTCTGTCTGTCTGTGGGTTTCGATGCTCTCCAGCTGTGTGTCTGTTAGTCATAAACATGTTTTCTCCTCTTTCCTGTTAGCGTGGCAGGGAAAACATTAATGCATGGGATGGGAAGGGAATATGCACTGAGCATGCAAGCAAATAGCAAAACTGACTTTCTGTAACAGCCGCTTGCAGTGAGCTCGGGCAGTGCTTATTGACAGCATGGGTACAGAGTTTACAGACAGAGCTGGCAAACTCTTGCTTGGTTCTGCTTGTTCCGATTCTCATACAAAATGCAGTGTCTTTTATGGAGGCAGTTGAGTTGAAGGACTTTGGTTTTACGAATTTGTTCACAAGATTGCTTTGCTTCTGGAGAGTAGAAATGGCATGTCAGGGCTCATCCCAGCTCTGGGGGAGAGGGAGCCGTGCCCCTGCGTGAGGGAGGGCAGCTGTGCCCTGCTCACCTGTGGACTTCCACGCTACCACCTGAACACCGCTGGGTTTACTCTGCGCTGCCCAGGAGTGCCTTGGGGTTGGTGGCCCGGCTGGGCCAAAGAAGTCAGGACTATGCCATGGCCCAGGGACAGATGCAGGGGCTGCGGGCAGGGAATTGCTGCTCGGAGGGTCCCGTGGGCCAGCGCTCGGGCTCTGTGGTGTATATATAATCCTCCTGTTCTCGACATATTGGTTTTCCATGTTCAAGTCATGCAAGCACTTGGCATTCAAGTTAGAAACCCTTGCAAGGTGGAGGACGGGAGCTCCTGCAATAAATGAGGAGTTTAATTGATGTTTACTAATAGTTTGCTCTAATAGATGAGAAGATAAGCCATATCCCAGGTCTGATTTTTTTTCCATTTATACAGGTGTAAATTAGAAGCAACAGTATTGATTTAAATGTGGGAGGTGAATTGAGCAAAACCACTCTCCTGGAGCTTGTCATTTGTCTCCTCTGCATTGAGTCCAGGGAACTTGTGCAGCTGATACATTTGTATTGGCTTGTGCGGGAGGTTAGGGATAGAGGATGTTGCTCAGAAATTAAGGTTTTCACAGGGAGAGATGATCTCCTGGCTTTAGCTCTGTCTGCATTACCTGGGGTGAGTGAGGGAAACTTGGCTTAATTCTTTATTCCTCCTGGTTGAAGGCAATGTTTAGGGATGGTGCTGGTTAACTGCTGTGATGCTGCTGCTTGTCTGTATTTGCTGCACACGCTCAAAAATAACCTGAAAAGCCTGTGTCTACTTTGCTCACTCCCACTGTCCTAAATTGACCTAAACTTGCAATAAAAGGCTAAAGGTCCTCCCCTAACACCCTGCTATCACCTTTGTGCTTTCCCAGACCACTGCCTGCCTGCGGCCGACGAGCCCATCTCCCCGAAGAAGGCGAAGGGCATCCCTGAGTGCCACAACATGGAGAGCTGGTTCTCACCCCCTTCCCCCGAGTGGGCCACCGTGAGGGTCATCCCCGAGGAGGAGATGACCGAGCACAACCTTCTCGCTGTCCGAGTCATGGTCACCAGTGATGCAAGCAGGTACTTGAAAATACAAGTTAAGCCCATAAAAAAGGCCCGTAAGAGCAGCTTGGTTTTCTCTATAACTCTAAGGAAGAATATAACAAAATACAGTACTGAATGTACTTACAGCTGGGGGGGGAAAGACAAACCGCTCAGAATAACAATTGTTCTTTACCACAGCCGTAAATCCCCCAGACACATGACTCACTTTGCAGGAAATCTTCAAACATTTGCATCCCACACAGAGGCCTGAATCAGAGAGAAAAACATTGCCCTGATCAGCCCAGGTTCAGCTCTCTGCGTACCAAAAAATGTTGGTTCAGGGATTAGGGCAGTGGGTGTGTTGTGGTGCATCCTGTGACATGGCCACCTCCCACCTTGGGCATCATCCTGCAGCTCTGCACCCCAGGCCTCTCCCAGGGCCTTTGAGGACCTGCCCACCCCTAAGAAATCTGAAATTTTATGATCCTTGGGGACCTGTCAAAGGAAGCCCAATTTCTGTGTACAAATTAGAATATATTGGCTTTCTGGGCAGGATTCTGTGGGAGTTCATTCCATCTAAAGATTAGATTGGTATCTTCTGAGTAAAGTGGTTTTCCTTATTGAGAACTAAAAAACAAGAGAGGGAAGGAGGAAAAAAAAAAGGCAAACCCAAAGCCAACTGTTGCTCTGTAAGGAAGCTCATTCAGATCCTTGACATCTTTTAAAAACCTACTTGTGGTGCTGCGTGTAGATTGTGGAGAGCAACGCTTTTAGAAATGCAGCTTTCTGCTATTCCCTGTGGTGGTTTTAAATGGTGTTCATGCTCTGCCACATGGGTCTGGGTGCTCTTCCTGACAAGGATGAACCTCTCTGGGGTGGTTCTCCCACAGGGAATGGAGAGCTCGGGGAAGGGTTGCCTACCTGTTCAACAGACCCCCCCTGCGGAGCATGTGCTTGTATCCCTTGCTAATAGCCTCTGGCACGTGGTGGCCCCGTGGCGCCTGGGCAGCAACAAGAGCTGACTGACCCCTCTGATCTGAGGGAGCAGGTCCCTTCCCTGGCTCCCCGAGGCCCTGCCTCCCCGCCAGCGGGATGTGGCACAAGGGGTGATGCCACATCTGTCACTGGCGTGGCTGGTGCCAGCAGCTCCGAGGTGAGCCTCCCGCTGCTGTGGCTGCTCGGACACCCTTCAGCCACACTGCTCTGGCAGGGCACCTCCTGCCTAAAAAGGGGGGCTGAGAGAAACAGCAAGTGGCAAATAGCACTACTGAGGTGACTGGGGGGACTCACTGGGATGGGGAAACCAACCAGCACAATGGCACAGCTTCGCAGTTCAGGCTTTAGGTACTTGTGAATAATGACCACCTATCAAGCAGAGATCATAGGACAAGCTTCATACTATAGCAGTTACATCCTTGCCAGCCAAGGAAAATAAACATTTTGCCTCTTTAAAACAGAAATATATCAATCAATGTTAATGGCATGTCTTTCTCTTTTTCTTTTGAGTGGCACTCTGCCCAATCTCAGTGTGGTATCTCCCCATCCACACAGCATCTCAGCTATCAAAGACTTAATGTATTTATATTTTTTATATATATCTGTATGCTTGACACAGCTTGAAAGACACCTAAAAAGTATGTGTTAGTGGTGAAATTTAAGGCCACTCTGATTCAGCCTACATAGAGAGCAACACACCTGGAACTGTGCTCTATCCTTGCTGCCTTGCTGACCCTGGCCTCCCGGCACTGCTGGCTCGATTTGAGAGAAGCAGGGGTGCAGGACTGGCAGGCATACCCTCATAGCATTTACTCTGGCTTTATACTGTCTGCAGCCTTTCCTTTAGCTCTTCTTCCTCCTGCCTCCTGGGTTGTGCCTTGGGCTGTTACAGTAAATTTTTACTTTCTACAAGGCAGCACTATATAACATGAAACAGCTTTCTCCTGCCACACCAACAGGACTACTCATGGCATCAGCTCCTCCTTTTTTAAGGTAGAGCTATTAATCACAGTAAATCTATTAATTAGGTTAGCAGTATTGTTTGCATTAAAAACAGGCCAAATGGGATGGTGGCACGCTTATTTATGGCAGTGGGAATGCGGTCACATCAGAAGTCCTGAAAGTGCTTGCTCCCTACAGTCTGCTCTGTAGAGATGAAAGAAATCCCATGATTATTGAAAAAAGGACTAATAATCACCTCAAAGAGTCATTCTCCGGCCTAGAGGCAAGGTCATGATGTGTGTGGCATTCACATGTGTTTGTGTGGCATACTTTTAATTACCTTTAAGGAAGGGTATGCCGAAATCTGCCTCTGATCAGCTCAGGTGCCTCGTTGCACTCGCTGATCAATGGGTGTCCCAGTGGCTCCCAAAGAGTTTATTTCCTTATTTCCTATAGGTGTCTTCTGCACGTTTGAAGGCTGTTCACATAGCTTCACTGAGTTTTCTCCTTCCTAGACTGATGCTTACAGGTTCCTCCAACTTCTTGCTTCAGCCTTGCCTCAAAATACTTGAGTTTTACTGAGCTCTCATCCAAGCCATGGATCATCGTCACCTCAGGGTTGAAATGGCTGATGCTGAGTGATTTCCAGCATGGGTTCCCCCAAACTGCTGAAGGCTAGGAGAGCCTCCTGCCCCTCAGCATTTCCTCACCCTCCTTGCCTTTACCTTCTGCCAGCAATGCCTGTTTGGAGGCACCTGGGGTGCAGGAGGGGCTCTGCCTCCCGGCTGCTTGCCAAGGGCTCAGCGCTCAGCAACCACTGCTGCCCAGAGAGGGGAGCTGCTTCCAGGTCCCAGATGGGAGATGAGGCGAGGTCCAGAAATAACAGGATGAATTGAGGTGAAGCCTGCCTTGTGGTTGGTGTGGCCTGCCCTGGATTTGGCCTCCTGTGAATTCCCTGAGCATGCTTCTTATTTCCAAAAATCTGTAGGGAAAATGGTGAAAAGTGTAGAGTTTTGACCCTTGTGTCTTGCTTTCTTCATCTTGATACAGCCTTAGAGGCAGAAGGGCCCTCCCTGCTGAGTGATCAACGTGGTGTTTCGCCCCAAGTCTCTCTTGATGCCAGTTTGATTCCAGGCGCTGAACGTAGCGGTTGTGGGTGTGAATCTGGGCAGCAGAAATCTGATGGGAATAGTGATATCAACAGTGTAGCGAGTTACAGTCCTGTAATAGCAACAATGAAAAAAGCAAAATAAGGATGTTGGTTCTGGCTGCAAATCATCTATTTCTCTGCAGCCTGCATGGCTGTCAGGGCTGACACTACTGGTGCTTGTTGCACCAGTGGGAATGAAGGGGAACAGAGTTACGTGTGTCTTCTGGTATGTCCCACTTTCTTTCCATCTCACCCTTTTTTCCCCATAGCTCTGAGCTGGAGTTTGATTTTAATGGCAACTCATCAAACTCTGAGGTGAGCGAAGGACAGACCTCGCTGGTGGAGCCCCCCGCCTGCCCCAGCCCCGTCCGGAGGTGGCCATCACTTGCTGGGAGCCCTGTGGCGCCGGAGGAAAGTCCCAAAACATACAAAGTTGCCGATGGTAAGAGTGTCCTGACCCAGGGGTGCTCCAGCAGCCTCTCCTGAGGGCTGGGGACAGAGGTTTCTAAGCGGGGGCTGTTGCCTGCAATGTGGCCAGGTTGTACTCGTTAACGGTGTCTTTTTAGGGGGATTTCTGCCTTTGGTGTGCTGTCGCATGCATTTCCATGGTGCAGGGTAAAAGGTGCTTTACTTGCAGGGGTGGGCCGAGTGCTTTCCCACTGCCAGAAAGATTGGACGTGCGGTATGTGCAGTGCAGCCTAAGCTAGGGGCACGGGGGGAGGCACTAGAGAACTCTGCTTGGTTCAGTTGTGCTTCTGTCAGCTGCCTGAAATGTTTGTATCCAGTGAAAGCACAAGGAGGAAAGGGAGGGGAGACATTTAGGAACGGTCTGACTACACGTGAAAACTAGTTTCTGAAGCTGAAGGTCAAAAGTAAAAGATGTGCTAAAAGCAGCCAAAGAAATGGTTTTGCAGAAAATAAAAGGCTATCAGCATTCATTTCTTCCCGTCTCCCACCTCCCCCCATCCATATATGCGTTTTTATCCAGACAGAAAAGAGGAGATTTCATACAGCGATTTAAATTGACTCTTGAATACAAAGCCATTGTTTAGGGCAAAAAAAAGACAGTGGCGACCACCAAAAGGTGCCCAGCGGTGTGTGACCCCATGCAGTCACTGAAGGATTTTTGCCTTTTTCCTCCCCAGTTTCATGCTCTGCCCGCCCCTGGCTGCTCGTGTCCTCTGGCCCACCCCGCCAGGCAGGTTAGCTTCATCTCCATGAGCAGCCTGTCTCCCGGCTCCCCATCCTCACCCGGCTGCTTTCCAGGCTTGAGCCTGCCCCACGCCTGTCTGTCTGTCTGTCCGCCTGCCTTCCTGCTCAGTGTCGCTTTGGGGTGAGGAGAAGGGAAGCGCTTTTCCTTGGAGCGTGGCCCCGCGGCCCCTCCTGGCCGGCTGCGCGCTGCCCCCTCCCGGCCGCCGCCGCGGAGACACCGCTGGGAAACCACCCCCCGCCTGCTTTATTTCTCTTTCTTTTCTGTTTTTTGATTTTTTTTTTTTCTTTTTCCCTCCTTTCCCCTTTCTGTTTTCGCACTCTGGCTTTTGCTGTGTTAGTTGACCATGTGTCTTTTCGGTTTCTGTTCAGCGCTACAGAGAGCCAATACTTTTCACTCCACGGCGTTAAATAAGTATCAGAGTTGGAGAAGAAAACTCCAAGCAAGTGAGTAAAGCCTGAGAAGCAATTGTATCTTCTCTTTATGCTGTATCCTGTTTTCTTGTCTCGTAAGTTTCTGTTTTTCCTTCTTTCCTTTAAAAGTTTTGTATTTTTGCATCAGCAGCTGGGAAAATTGACATCTAAAACACACCAAGTATTTATTTTCCATTTTCTTGTCCTGAAAAGATCAAATTCCCTTTTTGCATGACTGTACCCTGCATTATTACACCCACTGTCAAGTTGTGTCCATGCTAATTTTCGAGCCAAGACAATGCACCCTGATCCCAGAGCCTGTCTCTAGCCCTGCCTTGCACTGGGTACTTTGGATTAGGTGCAATGCTGGGTCTGAGATTTTGAGTATCACTTACTAGAAATGCTCCTGGAGGTTCCCATTTACACCCATCTACAGGTGCTCTATCACCTCTTTTTTCTTGGAAAAAAACAGGTGATGCTTCTGAGTTACTGAAAGGGAGAAAGTACTACCAACCATCCCAAGAGGTGAACTGGTGAAAATAAGTGTTACTAGTTCTTGTTCGTTAGCCCTTTGACTTGTTTTGAGCTGACCCATCCCTGCCCATGGGCACTGCACAGGCACGCAGTGATTTTGATAGCAGTCAGGTCTGGGCTCAGGTCACTTCCGAAACGCTGTGCGGTCACCCCTCAGAGCTCAGACTGCATCGAAGTAATACTCCTGGGCTGTGGCCCTGGAGCAAGGCGGCTGTCCTTGGTCACACCTCTGCTGCTTGTGACAGGGCCTCCCACCTGCCTCGGCACAGCCCCTCTGCAAGGGCCCACGGTGCCTACCCAGTCCCCACGAAGGACTCGCAGGTACCTGCCAGGGTTGATCATACCATTATGGGAGCTGGGTAAGCTTAGCAGCATCCCAGACCCTCTCAAAACTTGGTTCGAAACGCGGTCGTATCTGTTAGACTGAGGTGTTGACAGCTTGAAGTATAAAACATGAATGTACAGCAGTGGAAAGAAGGGATTTGTGCATGTGACCAAGTGCCGCAGTTTCTGGGCATGGAGACAGCGGGTTTTGGGGAATGGTGGTGACAGCTGCTCTTTAGCCCTGCCCTCAGCTGCCCTCTGCGACAAGGGGGATTGCTGCTGCTGCTCAGAGTCCCACTTGCCTTCAGAGAAAGTAAGGTTTCTGAAACAAGTAGGATCCCTGTGTCTATTATGGGACCAGCATTCAAATAAGAGGCATCTTGGCTTGCTTGGTTTGAATGCACCATGTACTTCATGATTACTTGCAAGTACTCATTGTGAGATGAATTTTTACATCTCGAAAGAGGAGACAAGCTGCATCTCTCCTCCCCAGCACTGGCACAGGGCTCGCCTCTGAGCGAGCAGGTATGTGTGAGCCCTGTCACTGCTGACCCCGCAGTCCTCTGGAGGCCCCTGGTGCAACACGCCTGGGATAACTCAGGAAATCTCAGTAGAGCATGCATGGGGCTATTCCATGGTCCGGAGAGGATGCTCCCACCAAGCTTGACTTCAGCAAACCAGCCCCTGTGCCGTGCTGTCCCCAGAGAGGCCGCTGTGGCAGCCGTGATGGGGCTGAGAACCCCGGGATTCACCAGATGTCCCGGTGCGCGGGGCTCACCACGCTCTGCGGGGCCTCCCTGGAGAGCGGCGCGGGGTCGGGGTGGCCCACCCAGGCAAGGGGCGTCCCATGCCCAGCATGGGGAAGCAGAGCAGGGGGCCCTCAGTCTTGTGGCATCTGTTGTCAGCCTCAGAGATGTCTGAGCGCTGTACAGCATTTGAGGATTGGCTTTAAGCAGGTGTAGGCTTCACCAAAGGTTTGGATTTAAAATCTTGGCTTTATTGATCTCAGTTTTTAAAAGATCAAACAAAAATTATGCTTATTCCAGATATGAGAAGAAAAAAAGAAAGACAGAGAGGAAGGAAAAGATCAGGGGTCACTCTTAATTTCCACTAATTTTCAGCTTGTTCTCAGCAAATGCATCGTTTGCCAAGTAATTTTCCCATCATTTTATTAAAATGTTCTGTGGGCCTCCGAAGGGCTCTAGAGGGAGCTAAAAGCCTTTGAGAGGAAAGGGATGAACTGCATGATTTTGTCTGAACCTCAAGTATGCTGTTAAAACGAGGTGTAAAGCACATTCAGTATATACTGGGAACAGAATAAAGGCAATTTTTACTCTCTAGAGGAGCACTGTAAGTCTTAGTTTCTATATTTAAGCCACTTAATATTTAGTTACAAGAATGCATATGATCATCAGTCACATGAAAGAAAAATCTGTCTCCTTTTCAGACTTATTTCCCAAAACACATATGTTTCATAAACAGCATGAGGTACATGGCCAAGGAAAGGAAATCAGTGTCATGGTTACCCTGGCTGAAGGGCTCAGAGCAGGATATTACCTTTCAAAATCTTTAATCCCCGTTGCACAGCCACAGGGAACACCGTGCTCTTAATTTATCTTGGTCACTTGGAGTAGCTTTTGGGCCAAGCAGATCATGATAGGGCCCTAGGGAACTTTTTTTTTCTTTTAAATCCAATTTTGAATGTGAAGCTGCAAATATGAGTTCAGCATCTTGGTGGGAATAAATCCATTATCTCTGTGAAAGATGGCAAGCTGTGGCTTTGCATGAAGCAACGTTCTTGTGTGTGCAGGCCCTGTCCCTGTGAGCTAATGCAGGCCCACGAGAGCCATAGTGGGAGGTAGTTCTCCTCGTGGGCACGTGCTGTTGCCCTGTGGACTCTGGTGGTGGGGTTTGTGCCTTCAGCACTGTTGTGGCTGTAGCAGAGGCTGCATTTCCCCTCAGGGTGCTGAGCCATGACATTTGCCCATGCCAGGAGGCTCAGGACTTTAGTGGATCAGGCTAATCCCTTCCCCGGCTCACTTATGCAGGTGATGGTGGGATTTTTTTTTTAATCCTAGTTCTGGATTCTCATGTTTTCTCATGGCTCAATTCACTTTACAGAATGTAAAGGTCAGCCCCTGGTTGCTAGTCACTGCGGGAGTTCTTAACGAACTCCAGTGCATCGTTTCCCTCCATTCCTGACTGAATGTATCAAATTGCATCAAGATTGGGAAGGAATAGGTGAGACACTGAGAGGAAAGTAAAGTTGGCCTCTCTCCCTGGCTTGCCTTTTCTGAAGTCCATGTGCAGGAACTGTCTTCTCACTCTGGTGTGTTGCTTTTGTCCTTGCTCAGCTTTTAATTCCTATGTAGAAGAACCAAAGTTTGCTTTGGGAACCTTTGTGGGTTTCAGAACTAATAATTGGGTTTGAGAGTTAATAATTCAGCTATAAATATACTTGTCATGCTATAGCTTGACACAGTAATATCTTGGCTCAGCAATACTTGTGTTTGGTTCAAATATAATTTAATATGTAAAATTCCCACAGGCACAAATATTAGAGAGCTCTCCTGACTCCCTTCAGGTGCAAGTTACCTCCCTATTTTTTCTTCCAGCAGGTCTGTGTCTGTCTGTGCTAGTTTTGGTTCAAGGCCTCTTGCAATTAGTTACCTTGCCTGATCCTAGGAGAGCCCCCGGTGTACTGCCTGTTGGCCTGGCTTGGGAGACAGCAGGATTATTTCTGTCCTTACTGCCTGCAGGTGGTTGCATTGCCTTTTTCTTTCCTGTTCTGACAGATAGCCCTCTCAGAGGTCATCCCATTTTTTCATTTCTCGGAACTACCCAAAGTTTCAGAAGTCGCTGGTTGTTTTGACTGCCTCTGCTTTTAAGGCCTGAAAGCCCTCTAAAGAGGGCTGGTTTTCCAGACGGTTTCCTGGAACTCACAAGCTGTTTCACTACGTCCAGCCAAAAAGTGAAAGCAGTTCAGGTCCACCGCTGAAAATGTCAACACGTGTTTGGCACAGTGTGCACACACATATGAGTGAGTCCATAAACTTCATTGCTGTTGGTCAGCTCTTCAGATACAGCTGTATCCAGATGACTGTTTAACTTTCTACTCTTATTCTTTAATTGCAAACGTTATTTAAGACAAAAATAATACCAATGTGATGGTAAAATTTGTGTCTTTGGCAGGCTTCCCTCTGCTGTCCGGCAAGAAACCCGGGTTACACTGGAAGGAGAGCTCAGCCAGCTGTCAGAGTGGTCCTGGAGAGGATCAGTCCCAAACACAGGTACGAAGGAGAATGTGCAGAGCAAAATGAGTGGCACCGCTGCTGGGGCATGTCTGCTCTTGGCAGGCTGTCTGAGCACCCCCTGCTCTTTCAAATAGTTTTGATCCTCACAGTAACCACTAAAGTTGGAGTTCTTCAAATGGAGGATAGAGACTTTGATGCTCTGATTGATATAACCATTCCCAAATCACATGGCTAAGTCACATTCACTGTGGGACTCAGACCTTGATCTCGCTGAGAGTTAGGCACTAATCTGTGGCATCAGACAACATGTAGGCACCACCACCCTGCCCTTCCCTTGCATCACGGGGCTTAGCTGCCACTGGAATTTCCTTTGTGCCACAGTTTCTGCCCAAAGGAGAGGAAATCTCCCAAACCTCTGCCCCCTGGTGCTCCTGAGCTGGCTTTTGGTCTGCCCATGTGCTTATAGGGCTGGATGGAAATGTGTAACATGCTGGAAAGGGCCATGTGCCAGCAGTGGTGGGGTGAGAGGGTATCACATCTGAGTGGCTTAAAAGCCACTTGATCGCTGTGCATCACTGGGCGAAAGGCAAGGGCCAACACCAGCCTTGGGGAGGAAATGTGGGAGCTGAGGTAAGGGCTCGCGTGGTGCCAGCCATAGGAAACCTGGCGTAGGAGACTGGGGGATTTTTTTAGGCCATTACAGCCCTTAGACATAGGTGTGCCCATGTTTAATGTTTACCCCTTGCATCCGGTGGGCATAAGACTTCTTAATTTGCAGCAGGCCCTTGGCTCCACGCTTCCCACAGCTCAGGATCATCTTCAGTTTCCTTCAGGACCTAGTATTTCCATTGTATTTTTAAAAAATTTTACTTTTCTTAAGGCTGAGGAAGGGTGGGCTTGCCGTAAGTGCAGTGCTGCAGCAGGAGTCATGACCGACCGTGCAAGCAAAGGGCAGCGCGTCCCCTGCATTCGGAGTTGGGCGGAGTGGGGAACAGCCCACGTCCTCCGTGTCCTAGCCCATTGTCCTCACCCTTGGGTTACACATGAGTAAAATTGCTTGACCTCGGGGTCTGTGTCGAGACTTCCATGTCCACGGTGTTGGCTGAGATCCAGTCCAGGACAATAGGGCCAGGAAGGGAACGTCCCAGGGGAGCCGAGCTGCACAATGCTGCCTGGCCACGCCACGCACCAGGAGAGGTGACTCCATGCAGCTCCCACTCTATAAGCAGTGCTTAGCAGCCTTTTCCTTACTCTAAAGAGAGAGGAATAAGAGGGTGTTTATTTGTTTATTGGTGTTTCTCATGTTTTTCTATCTGAGATACTGGCCAATATTAATTTTAGTCATCAAATACAACTGTGAAACAGGGTGTAATCATTGCCTTACTTCTGATGCTTCTGGGAAACAAGAAGTCAGACAGATTAATGGCTTCACCCTTGTGAATTTGGGAATCTGGCACATAAGTGGAAACAGGCATTGAATCTTCACACCATTCATTATCACACAGTGTTGAGAATAAAATGCCTCTCTTTTAGGAACAAAACCACCCCTCTAGTTTTGGTCTGCTGGCTAAATAATGTGGGCATTTATCCTTGGTACTATCTCCAGCAGAAAATTTCAGTGGCTAGAGTAATGAATTTAAATATTTACCAAAGGAAAATAATTATAAAAGAGAACTAATTGAATTGTTGAAAACTACCACCTTGCATTTTACACTCTTTTCTGTGTTACTTCATTCATCCCTACCTGTGCTATGTAAGCATGCAATATTATAAAAGCAGCTGGAGCGGATGGATGACGGTCTCTTGTGCTTGCTGGAAACTCTAAGGTGATGAAACTGGGATGCACATGGGAGAACAGAGCATATCTACTCTTGTCCATTTTCCTGTACATAGCACTGTTTCTTTCTGAGGAAAATATTAATGGCAATTCATAAAGATACGACAGATTTTTAGCATGAATAACATTATTTTTAGACTTAAAATTTCCAGTCATATTAGATGCCCACTCCTGGAGAAATACTAGCCCTTTAGGGAGAAAAGCTTTGCTGCTTATTGTATTATCATCTACATATATATGTGTATATAAATTAATTATTATGTTTATTAGTATTATGTCATGATTCAAATATCATATGAAATAAAAGATGTACTCAACTGTATTTTTCTACCCCAAAATCTTTTTTCATGCACTTCACAGTTGGCTTCTTACAAGAATTCACCTGAAGTTACAAGAGGACATTCCAAACCCTACAGCCCAGTGTTTCAAAGAAAAGAAAGAGTCAGAGAGATGCCTGAAGACTTGCGTCTCTATGTACCCCATTGTCCTTTGCAGAGCAGCACCAGAGCTTTTTCACGGACCCCTCCTGGGAATGGGACAGTGGCTGCTGATTTTTCTGACCCTGAAGATACAGATAGTGACACTGGGACATACACAGCCCAGGGCTGGAAGGAAAAAACCCAGAAATATACCTCTGAACAAGAAGTTTTTAACAAGAAGACAAAAGTGCTGCCATCTCTGGATTTGAAAGAGAAAGAAGGCAGAAATACAAGGCAGCCCGAAGAAAAGCCTGAGCGAGAATCAAAGGAGGCAAAAAAAAGACTGTTTCTTTGTACTCAACAGCGACCCTTGTCACACAATTCAAACGGGAAGGACTTAGGTGGAACCAGTCCAGGGTATCAAGACAAAGGAGCACTGTGGACTTCAGAGAAGGTTGCTGATGGGACAAAAGATGTGTTTGAAGTATCTGATTGTCCTGTGCCTCTCTTATTTGCAGATGATGCTCCACCAACTTTACCAGTTGACAGAAAAGATGCTTTAAGGAGTCTAGATGCAGCTGCCAGGGAGCACACAGCTGGCCAGCCAAAATCACCACTGAGGCTCATAGCCAGTGCTATCAAAAGGTCCATTTGGGAGCCTCTAATTTCATCTCCAGAAGGACTAAAGCAGGACTCAGACAGCAAAGGCAAAGCCCCTTCAGAAAAAGCTTTCTTCAGCTTCTCCAGTACTCCTGGCTATTCCCTAAGCCAAAGGAATGGCAACAATAATACAGCCAATAACGCTGAGCCACAGGAGCTTCAAGCAGGGGAGTGGGCAGGAGAGTATTTAGGACATGGGAGCCCTGTCTCAAACCCAAACAATTCTTCTGTCAGCTCTGAAGAGAGATCTCTAAGGGATTACAGTGAAGACGTATCCTTCCCAGTCTACAGTCCTCACACCAGGCTTTCCAAATCAACCAGTACACCTCAGAAATCATCTTGTGCTAGGATGGAGGATGTCCCAGGACTCCTAGAAAAGTTTACCTTCAGAGAGACTCCTCCAGAGGCTCCCATGGATGATGTGTTTATCTGTAATGAAAAGTACCCCCTTCTTTCATCATCGGAGCCCAAGAACACCTCCAATGACAGTCTGGATGACTCTGCACAGAATGGTAGTCTCGGGTCACTCTTTGATAGACTGAGAAGTAAAGCTCATGACAGAGAAGGGAATTCCTTTGTGTCATCTCTGCCTTTCATGGAGGACCGTTCTCCAGAAGACAGGCTATGTTATCTTTCCACAGGTGAGGACCTGAGTAGAATTATTTTTATTATTATTAAATTATTATTAATAATAATAATGATAGCACTGATCATTTGATAGACCTGTGTGTGATCATGCAAACACTTACCTGTAGTATGTTTAATTTATAGTTACTTTCTACGTAGGAAGATTTGTTAAATATATTTTTTTTTGTTAAGGTTTAGGAGTTGCTTCTGGTTTAAAGGAGCAGAGCAGATTTGAAATCTAAGTGCAGCTCACTGGACCCAGGTTTGGTCTGCTGTTCAAATGTGTTTGGGTCAGGAAAATGTACTTGGTGAGGTGGCAGAGTGGGACGCCGTGCCGAGCAGCTGCAGCTGCTGCTGTGACACTGAGTGTGCTGTGGAAGGGGGAGTACAGCAGGCAAGTGGAAGGATGAGCACTGAAAACTCCAGTGCAGTGTGGAGTACATTTGTTACCCTTTCCATGAGGAGCTCACAGACTGAAGCAATATGGTTGCAATAACAAGAAGCTTTTCTTTGTGTGTGTGCCTTCTCAGCAGGTGTCCCTTCAGCTCTGTCCACTGTTGTGGTGATCAAATTGTAGACATACTTTTGGGAACTTGTGGTGTCATTAAGATCCCCCTGTTATTTTATTTGAGAGGAGATAGCACCTTACTGACCTACTCTGACCTATTTGTGAGTCTATTTGGGCATGATTAAAAGGCATCATTTTTCATGTTTGCTTGCAAGAACAAGGTTAGGATTAAAATAGCAGATGAGTCTGAGAAATATTGATGTCAAAGAGCAATCTGAGTAATCTGAGCATAGGCTCAGAAAGAATTAAGTGCAGCGCAGTTTCAGGTATGAAATATGAGGTATGAGAGCTGCACCCACCTGTCTGTCTTTGTGATTCATCTTTCCACTACCCCACTGCAGAAAGTCACAGTTATTTAACTAAATAACCTATTGAATGTTATTGACATACCCGTTTGTTTCTTTATTAAATTGCAACCCAAACTGTAACCTCAAAATTGCTGCTGTACTGCATCTGTATGCATCTGCTGAACTGCAACAGTCTGTATGTAAAACGTGGAGTCACTGAAATGTTCCCAGTGAGCTGCCAGATCCTTTTTGCCTCCATTCTGCTTCAGAGCTACTGCATACTGTGAGGAAGATACATATTTTATAAGAGACTTGATCTGAAGCTCATTAAAACCAAGAATAACTCCTGTTCTCATTTCTGAATTTTTGGATTGGACTCTTGGAGCATCCTTTATCTAACAACTCACAAAACCAAGCATCCCCTCTGAGCCATAGGATGCTGAGGATTGCGCTGAAGCCACAGAGTTGCTGTTGACACTCTTGTCGTGCTGTGGTCTTAAATGGGAGACTTTACAGAGTCTATACCTAGTCACCACCCTTGCTCTTAACTAAGTGTATTACGGTAATTGGTATGTTGTGTTGTTACTAAAATGGGAAAAGTTCTCAGGTTTGAATAACGCTATATTTTATTTATGTTTTAAATATTTTGGAAAAACATGCTGGTTTAATATGTGTTGCATTCCTCTGCTGTGCAAGCCAAAAGAGGAATTATTAAATTATTATAATTATTGAATATAGGCATTGCAAAGTCTGTTTAGAAGAAAAAAAAAAAAGGAGCTTTGATCTAGCCATTTGCCCATGAATCTGTCATCTTCAACGTTTCAACACTTCAGCTCCCTGAACTTTTAAAAACATTCATATTTGAGTAAATCAAACTGGTAAAGAGCCAAGTCCTGCTTGGCTCTCTAAAATGGCATTTCTGTCTCATACTGGCACTTGTCTGAGGCCCAGGCTTGGCAAACTGCAGTCATGAACTGATGACGAGCTTTAGCTTTAGCCCACATTACGTGTAATTATTTTTCTCTCTTAAAATTTACCATGAATTTCAGATAATTTCTTTTCTTTAAAGAAAAAACCCAAACACCCAGCACCTTGTAGAAGCCAGTTTAATGAGGCTGTTTCTCCTACTGCTCCTGGCTCTTTGCAGTAGGCCTATTTGGGGCCTGACAGACCTGGTCTGTGCAAGTATGCTTGGTCTTGCATTACGCTGGCGTTTTCTCCCACAGTGGGCTGTGCAGCCAGAGAGTGAGCTGGATGATAGCAGCCCATGGGCTTGGGATGGGCCTGGGCAAGCTCACTGAAGAGAGGTCCACTGAGGAGTACCACATGCTTAGAAACCACTTTCAGTTTAGAAAGTTCCTGAACTGAAAAATGCTTGGAGGCTGCACGAGTCTCAAGGGGAGGAGTCAAACAAGACTGTCCAGTACCTATAGCATTCCTTTAGACATCCACTGGTGGAGACAGACTGGGAGGACCTTCAGTCTCACCCTGCACATACACTTCTATGTTACCTTGTTCATCTGTCCCTATACCTTATCTTAGTTACTTCATCAGCAAGTACACGTCCAGATGTCTTCCCTATGCTGATGGCTTCTGCATTTCAGACCCAGGTGTCTGTCCAAACTAAAAACTGTGTTCTGCCCTTTCTGTCATCTCCTGCCAAGTGTTCAGCCACCAGCTGAAGCTCAGCATGAGGAAGCAGAGACCTTAATTACTTAGCAGCAGATTGCCTGTCACTCGAACTTATGTCTGCAGTTACACCTTCCCTAAGATCACACGAGAAATCTGTGGAGAAGCAGACACGTGAAGCCAAATAGTCAAACCCCATTCTTGAGTTCTCCTAGCCTTCCTTGTGCCCTACCTCAGGTCACATCCCCTCTGCTTTGAGACAGCAGTGCCCCAAGAGAGATGTGTAGCTTGGCCTCTCTCTTTTGTAAAACACTGAAGCACTTACAGTGGTCAGGATTAACTCCAATGACTTTATGAAAGAATGCAATCCTGGACACTTGCAGAGGAAGCCAACAGATGAATACAACACTGTGTTATAAAACCAGTTCCTGCTCCAAGACTTTCTGTTTAGACTGCAGTCATTGCTGTGACACAGAACCACCCCAGGAGAGGGAGGTAAGCTGTGACACGCAGAGTGACGGCAGTGGTGGTTGTCCCTGTAAATCTCCAGGACAACGAGGAGCTGTTCTGGGTCTAACAGAAGGTTTCTCCTTCTCAACGTTTTCATGTGACATCTCCCTCTTTGTCCAAAGGACCTCGAGTCTCCTAGGAAAACCAGTACCTTAGGTGTGTATGTTAAGGGAGGGGTTCTCAAAGCCCTGGACTTTGGTCCAGTTCATCCCTCTGCATACCATGGGGGTTTTACCGCTGATGCCATTCAACTTAATTTTCAATGGAATTTTAATTTTATGGATTTAATTTTTCTTCTCTTATGACATGCACATACAAGTATACCAAGTCCCAAAATCAAGAGTTGGAGGCCAGCTTCGTACTTTGAAGTGTATTCCATGACACTGTCAGATTCTGTAACAGTTAATACTCGTCGTCCTGTGATTTGACAGCTGTAAATCAGGCATGCTGTAAAGGTCTTTTGACCAAACTCCTAGTAGCTACTGTGAGGTAGGAGTCAAGAATAGATTAATAAAATTTCAGAAATCTTTGTTCCTTTCCCCTTTATAATTAAGAACTAAAACTATGGCTGACCGTTCCTGGTAATCCAGAGTCATTTTAGCTGGGAAGAAAAAGCTCTAGTATAACGTGTTAATTTGGAAGTTAGGAAGATGATAGAGTACTTAAGAAATAAGTAATAAGTAACTCCCATTTTGAAGGAATGAGATGGCTAGAAAGAGAAAGCCTAAGTCTAGAATAGTTAAGGTTTGGAAAAAACATATGTTTTTAGATTTTTTTCTGTAGCTATTGAGCTTTAAGGCTTGATGTATTTGGAGTAGACAAATTATTATTATCTAATTTCAGTATTGCTAAATTTCAGATTAAAATGACCCAGCGAGTCTCTGAGTTGAACATTTTTATGTGTGAACTCCTTGTGCAAATCCTCACAGCTGGCAGCTAAATTCTGCCTATCCCACCCCTCTGGAGATGGGAAAGATTAATGCTTAGTCATCTATAGTATAACGTATAGATGCTGTAATATAGAAAAGTAGTTTGTGGGTTTTTTTTCCCAAAATAGCATAAATGTGGTATTTTTCTCTAGCTCTACATAAAGCAAGTTCATTCAGTGAGGTAATTTCTCACTCTGCTTGTTATAGTCGTCTTGAAGCTGAAATTTGCATCTGGGGTACATTTTAGAGCATATTTCTGGTCTCTCCTACAAGTAAGTAGCCAAAGAAAAATAGCTGAGCAGAGCACTGTGTGGCCTCCCTTTTAATGTTGAAAGAAATGCACTGTCCTACTGTTTTTATTTCCCTGAAATGTGTCAGGACCACATGTCTGGGAGCCAAAAAAGTCTGTTCTCATCCCAGTTCTGTCACTCTTCACTGTGTGTTTCCAGGCACTCCTTGGAGCAGCCCATGCTTCAGTTACCCACAGTACTTCAGCAGAGAACATCAGTTCTGCCATGGCTGTGCAGTAAATGTGACAGACTGTGACTGCCAACACGCACAGGCAGATCCATCAGCTGCCTCAGCACCGAGGGGCTTCACGTGCCCCTTTGTCCTGTAGGGCTCTCGGGTGGACGCAGAGAAGGACGTAGCTGATGGCAGTCATGTGCCTGCTCTCACGGGGCTTTGGGTACCGTGTCCCTTGAGAGGCTGAGCTGTTTCGGTGCAATCGAAGTGGCTTTTCTCTGGAAAGCAAGGTGCAGATACCTGGCTGTCCATAGCAGATCGTCACTGGGAGGACTGGGGATGTTATGAATCTGTTCTCCACACAGACAGTTGGCTTCCTCATGCTCATGACATGGCCCTTGGAAGCCCTTGAGGAAGTCATTGACCCTCTCCCTGTCACAGAAAGGCAAAGAGCTCATGAGTCGCAGCCCTGAGGAGGCGGCAGGTGCCCTTGTGTTACAGCAGTTTGCTTTTCCTCTAGACCTTGTAGCGCTATTTAAATTATTGATACCATTCAAAGAGGAGGACAGGGGGGAGCAGTCACTTATTCCCACAGCTGAGAGAAGAAAGGGAGCATGTAATTGCTTGTGTTTCCAGCCCTGCTGGGCTGTAAATTTTGCCCTTTGCATATTAAGGAATTTGATTTCCACCAGCAGCGTAACCATAGGGCAGTTACTGCAAACTTCTGGTGGCACAGGGAAAAGCAAGGCAGGTGAGTTTACTCCTCAAAACAAGTAGTGACTGATACTCTCCATGCCTTTCTCCACCTCATGCACTGGGAAGGACTTTACGGCTGAGTGTCCCTGCTGGGGGCAGAGGTGGGGTGCAGCTGGATTTGTGCTCTTGTCGGCAGAGCGTGGGGCAGTGTGTGGCACTGGTGCCACCCCAGCAATTGTGAGGCATGGTGAGAGGGAGGTGTGGGGTGGCAGCCTGGGCGCACCTGGGCGGGGAAATCACCTGGGAGGCTGGACACCCACCTGGAGGGCTACTGCACCTCCCTGGTTTTGCTTGCAGGCATCTGCTGCCCAAGGACTTGTCCTGCAGAAAGGCTGTTGAACCCGAGCCTGCTCCGCGGGCACTCCGAGCTTGCAGCTTCATGGAGCACTAAGACTGGGTGCTTCTAAAATTGAGATTGCTGAGAAAAATCAGAATTTCTGCCTCAAAATACTTGGATTTGATTTTATTGCTTTACTGTCTGGCATGAAAGTGTTTCGTGGATCCTGATTTTAAATTAGGACTTCAGACAGAAGTCCTGCTTCAGGACTGGGATCCAGGACAAGGCAAAGAAGAAACATTTACACTGGGAGAATCGGAACACAACTTGCACATAGAAAGCCAACTGTTACCTCACAGATACAAAGAAAAACGGCACTGTTAGTTTTAAATAATGTACGTTTCCAAGATGCTGCCCAGCTGTTAATCGTTAACCCTGTAGCAGGTTGAAGCATAGAGACAGATGTTCCAAAAGCAGTTTTGTTTTCTGAAATGAAGAGAATGAAGCTATGAATTAGACAAATTAAGAAGAAATTCAAATATTTACACCCAGTTGAAACAAGATGCTGGAAAAACAGGCATGATAAAATTGCTGCAATTAAATGTAATTTAATTTATAATTCTGAAAGCATGCTTCTTCCAAAGGCAGCCTTTGAGTTTTCCTTATGGAGCACATTGTTGTGATGTATGGATTTTCCTGACTTATTATGGCATTTTAATCAACAGTTCAATGATGTGATAATATTCCTAAAGCAGAAAAATAAGTGACGTTTGTTTAGACATAATTAATGAAATATTTATGTTGCATGAGGCTGTGTGATAAAGCCTTGTTCTCTTAGTCCATTTGCTTCTGATTACATTTGTGATTTTTTTATATGACCAGACATTCTGACGCCAACTATTTTACACTGAGCAGATGTCATGTAGTAAAAATGGGTGCCAGATGCTACAAGCCACATAAGGGTAATTTGTTTAAGAGCTGGCTCAGACTTTTTGCATTCAATTACACTGTATAGTGAGCCTTATACAACCATTTGGGTAATATGGCAAACTTAGATATACATTTTAATGAATGTTGAGTGCATTCAGAAGAGCATGCTACATGCAGGGTGCCCAAGGAATTCATTTATTTGTATGTAATACCTGAAAAAAATCAAATACAGCCAGACAGAGTTTTTGACAGGGATCAAAAATTTAATTAATGCCATCAACTGAATTTCCAAATTGCTCTAGGTGCTGCTGATTAGAACTCGGGGCAGGTGCAAAGTGTCTGTGTAAGTTAAAGAACAGTATTTTTTGCTTCACTGTCTATTTTGTTCCTGCATTTTAGGATGTGAACACCTACCTGTAAGAAAACAAGCTACTGAGTATTCTACTTCTTCCTCTGATGATGAATTTGAATCCAAGCCTTTATTAACACACAAGGTAATCTTGACTTGGAAACAGAAAGATATTTCCTCAGTTGGACTGTATTTAAGAGTTGTCATAGGATTTTGATCTAAAACACACGGCAGTTTCTCAAAGTGAGGACTGGAATGTTTTATCAGTGGAGGTTGTGTGTCATGGAGAGAAAATACACTAAAACTCTCTAAGACAGATGAACGTCAAAATTTCTTTTTTCTCTTTGAATCTTCAATTCCCCCGGGTTACACCGGCATTGACAGAGGACGTCTTAATTTGACAAACAGACATGTTTCACTGAAACCACTTTGAAGCTGCATTCTTAAGTGGCCTTAATACGTAGCCCAACAAGCAAACTATTGAAAAAATTAAACCAAACAGATGCAGATTTCCCTTGGGAAAATACAACTTCATTTAAGAGGCACTGTAAGCAGGTTGCATGGAAAACACTGTGTTTATCCTAATCAGCACGACTGCGTGAGCCACGAAGTCACACCCAGACCCTTGACACCAAAAGGGCCGCCTGCAGACCGGGGTCCCCGAGTCCTAACTCAGTCCTCTGTCTAGCAGGTGGGGTTAAAGTACCAGTGAACTCTTGGTAGCCAGCTCTGATGTGAAGAAACAGAGCTTTTTTTTCCCAAATAGCTCATCAGAAATGTGTTTACCTCTTTCCTGTGAAGGGGGAATATCAGTAAGCAGAATTAATAGTACAAGGTGGCCTTTTGATTTGTTGCCCTTGAGGGGGGGTAAAAAAAGGAAAGCAGAGCAAGAGGCTGCCCAGTACTCTGAAAAAACAGTGGAGCTGAAAGCTAAGTGAGGCTTTGAGTGGAAATCCAGTTGCACAGCTCCAGAGGAACCGAAGTGCCGGGAGGCAGAAGCGCAGCAATGTGTGGCGGCACATCCCGCCAGCAGCTCTGTGTCAGGAGGCGCTGGTATGTCAGAAGTCATCCGTCATCCTTCCTGGTACAGGAAAGACAAGGTATAGTAAGAAAATAATTTGGTGAATTAAATGAAGTTTAGGCAAAATCAAGCAAAGAAGGAAGACAGGGGAGAAAACTGGATAGGAGGAATTCCCAACAGTTTGGGCAGGCGTGGAGACAGGCAGGACCAGGCAGGGGGTGAATGAGCAGCTGCTGCACACGGGCGTTAGCAGTGACTCGGTTCTGATACACGTTCCCCACTCAGCTTGTTTCTCTCTACTGCCTCCTAGCACCTCTTTCCATGCCAGTTCTGGCTGCTATTTTGCCAGTACCACCATTTGTCTCCGGTAAAACTCAGGGAAAATTTTAGTGGCTTCCTGGTTAGGTTTTTTAATCGTCTTATCTATGGTATTTTTTTTTTCATCTTGTGTCACATATTCTGTCTCCTCCAAAATGGGAAAACCACAGCCTTGAAGCACTTCTGGATAGCCTGGGTCAAAGGCAGGATGGAGCAAGCGCAGGCAGCTCCCTCGTCAGCCCTGCACCACGTGCTGCCCCGCTTTCCCGGCAGCAGTGCTGGCTGCCCCACGGAAAGGCAAAAAAACCTCTGTGATGCAGGAGAGAAATGGTATTGGGGAAGGTTTTGTAGGGCTTCAGGTAGTGTCCTGTGATGGCTGTGTCTTTCGGAAACGTCCCTTTTACCATGTTACAAGCAATCCAAAGTGAATTTTACTACTTAGCAGCTACAGCAGTAGAAATAGGTTGAGTTTCCTTGAACTGGTGCTTCCCCTGACCTGTGCCCGGCTTCTTCCCCGATCATGGTGAAGTCTGCAGAAGCCATGTATGCGGGTGGGTTGTATAGAGTCAACTTTATCATTCAGTCATTTTTTATAGACACAGTTGACACTCAGGCTTGCAAAAAGAGCTTGTAATGATTTAAAGTCAATGTAGGCAAATTGCCCCACACACCCTGCAGCAGCTCACCTCACTTGGAGCAGGGGAGTTGGGTTGGACTATCTTGGGAGGTGTCTCCCAACCTCAGAGGTTCTGTTATTCTGGCAAAGGTTTGAGGAAACCTGTAATTGCATACTTACACTTTGATTGCCTTTTTTTTTGGATCTCTCTTTTGTAGGCAAAAAAGGCTCTTAGAAGGAGGAGGAAGCTGGAAAAGGAGACAAAGCAATTGATTAAACAAGAGGAGCTGAAGAGGCTTCACAAAGCACAGGTGAAAAAGTAGCTTTCAGATGTCCCATTTGTCTCCAAGAGTAACTAGTGAGGACAGAGGGTATCCAGTGTGGGCTCTGCACCTCCCCTCGCTCCTCACTGCAGCTCACTGCCTTCTGTGTTGAAATCTCCCCAAACATCAGGAGCAGTGAGATGTATGTGGCAGGGCCTTGCATCTCTATTTGTGACACGTCCACATGTGCCCCGGGAGATCAACATAATTTTGTGATTGTGTATGAAGAACAGGAGGGAATAGTGACTGGCAAAAAGAGAATAATACACTGAAGAGGGAAAGAGATAGAAAGGGGTAACAACGTCAACACCTGAGAATGTAAGAAACTCAGCTATTACCCCTAGGTACTACAGGAGGGTATGAAAATACAGTGATGGTTTTTGTTCTCCCTCTGTCATAACAGTGAAAGTGAACTGTTTTCTTTCTTAATGATGCAAAGTCACTGCACTTTATACAGGCCCTACTCTTCGGGAAATGCTGGAAAAGCTCCGGACTCTGCTAATGATTTATTGTTTCCGATTGCAGCTCAAAGATTTGAGAACGCATTTCTGCACAACTTGATCTCAGACTGTTCTCTCAGGTGGCAAAATTTTCAGGTTTATCTGTTTCACTTATCAGACATACATAATCTATATGCACACATGCACAACTTAATGGCTTATGCGGCCATTAGCACTTTTTGTGTGTGTAGCATAGGGCAGAGAAACCTGAGCTAGATTTAATCTCATTAATTCAGGTTGTAATGGTAATCGAGATGTGATAGTGGGGAGAGCAGGCTTCTTCTGTATCATTATAGCAGGTGGAGAGTTTTGGATGGAGCTTCCACTTGCTACCTCTGTACCAATATTAAATTAAAAAAGAAAACGTAGAAGTTGTTTTTCAGATGTAAATCTGAAATCTCCATTTTTGTAGACTTCACTGCTTTTGCAAAACGTATTACTGAAAAGGAGAGAAATTTTGTGTTTGAACCAGACAGTGGATTTTAGAAAATGCTAGTATCTAGCCATTACTATAAAATCTGTGACAGAATGAAACTCACGGGGAAAAAGAAATAGTATCTTATTTGATCCAAAATAAGAGCAACTATGTTACAGTTGTTATCTGAGAATTCTAAACTACCTCAAGTTAAAATTAGATGCATACGTGCCTTCTCTTATTTTACTGCTTTGTGGAAATAATCAAGTCCAAACTTTTTGAACTATCTTTCATGTTTGTTAGGCTGTTGCTGAGGGTTTGGCTTGGTATGCCCGAACGCAGCCTGAAATGGGAACTGCTGAGCATCTGTCTTTGACAGTTCAACCTTTTAAGGTGTTTCATGCCTATTATCCACATGGCACCTCGGAAAATGATACTTAAAAGGCGATGGACCAGTGAATGTAGAAGTCCTTCCTGAAGTGCCATTGAATTATCACTTCTTGGCTATTAGATCCTTCCTTCCTGTGTCAAAAGTTTGTGAAATATGAAAGCAAAATAAACAACAAAACCCCACAGAGAGCCAAATAGATAGCAAAGCTTTCTAGCTGTAAACCTTCCATATTTATCTGAGCTTTATTCACGTAGCAGCTCAGACTATGTGCCTCTGAATGTCTAAGTATTGACTTTTCACACCTCGCAAGACACAGAAGCATTACGATCTTTGTTTTTCAATTGGAGAGCTAAAGTTCAGAAAAAACTGATGTTCTTCTGGTACCTATGATACTCACATAAAAATGTGGGTAGATACCTAGTGGAATTATTAAATTGCTTAGGCGCCTAATACACTCAGTGAGTTTGCAAATCCTGTGACTCCTCTGAGACCTTTTCAAGCTGTTTCTCTAACCACCGATACCAGCTTTTGTCTCTGAATTTTTAAGCTATGTCTGTAGCTTTTACATCATTACAATTTTGCAGGCGGTCCAGCGCCAGCTAGAAGAACTGGAGGAAAGACAAAGAGCTCTGGAGATTTTTGGTGTCAAACTGGAGAGACAACTAAGAGGAGAATCAGGTAAATGAAGCAGTGTTTGTTTTTTTTGGTGTTTTTTTTTTTTAACCTTTTCGAAGCAGAGTGATTTTCATGATTATCATAGAAACGCAGTTCAGTGCGAAATCTGAAATGAAACAGTAACTGGAAGGATAATAATCATTGTTTATCCTTTTCCCCAAACTGTTAGCTCAAGCACCTTTAAGCTGAATGCGATACGTTTTCTGTTGGTTGTCACAGATTTGCCTTGCTATTTGAACCTGATCTACATTTTTTTCCCCCCATTTTTAAAAATCCCATCCTGAGCTTAATTTCATCTTCTGGAGGGAACCAGTGAGCTGTATCTCAGTTACCAAGCCAGCAGCAGCCCGTGCCTAGTAACAGAGTCCTTAATGACTTCTCCCGGAGTGTGAAATGCCATTAATACAATTAGAGCCGGTGGCCATGCTATAGCAACAGCAGCATGCAGGCATAGAGACCTCAAGCACACAGCTTTTCCCCCAGCGGGGAATCATCCTGGCCCCGGTTGGAGGCAAGGTTTGCCCTCGCTGGAACCGGGAGCGCCGAGCGGGAAGGACTGCGGCGTCCCCCGGCCGTGCGGCCTTGCGCGTGGGGTGAGCTGGGGACACCTCCCGCGGAGCCACAGCGCGTCTGGGGGCTCCTGCCAGGCTCCGCACGGCGCTGGGACCGCGAACCCTGCGGGGAAGGGGCTGCAGAGGGGCTGTGCTTCCGTCCTGAAAGGGCTCGGGAGCCCACAGCCCGATTGCAAACGTGTCCCTACCGCTGGATTACAGACCTGAACCTTGTGCTATCATGACAACACTGAGAGCCTAGATGTGTTTAGACACCCGATCTTTCTGTTGCCTTAGCGCGGCAACCCAGCACAATCTCCACATGCTGGCTTTTTAATGCCATATTTCTTAGCAGTTATCCCCCCTATTCTCACACTGAACTAATCAGTTTAGCAAGAGAGCATTTGCCCAACCTTTTATACTTATTACTAATTTCCTATAATTGATAGTGCCAGCCTATTTCAAATGTTAATTAAAGGGCTAGCATTTTTTTTTCTTAAATGAAAACATAACCTTTTATCAAATGGCAGCCACCTTACTGCCTGTGAGAAAGTCTGCTAAAAAACTTTGGAGTGTTAGCTTTTTTCTTTACCGCTGAGTTGTGTAAGCGTTGTATTTTTTAAAAAAAAACTTCAAAAATATAGAGGGACAAGAGGCTTCCAGCTCTTGGGATAGACACTGAATACCAGGATAAATGGCCTAAAGCCACCTCTTGTTTTTGCTGTTTTGACAATCGCATTTCCTAAAGAAGGCTGTCTGCCAAGAGATTGATGCTTCTCATTCTCTTCCCATCCTTAGTAATTGGATTGCCCTCATTAAGGTGAAAGCACTACTTTTTCTCTGTTGATTGTTTGTGTGTAGGTGGCTAGTTACAAATAGGACAGATACTGAAATATAGGATGTTGCTGTCTCTCAGTAGAAAGCACAAAGCCATAAGTTTCCCAAACAAAATGTGAGTGCTTTGTTGCTTGTAATAACAGAGGTGTAATCATGCAGGAATTGGTGAGTTTCATATTCTGTTCAACCTTCTTAAAAATAATGAGCATTATTGTTTAATGAATGACCAGTGTTTATTAGGTTAAATTGTATTTAAGCAGGTCTGCGCTTATGCAATTCAAGTGATTTAATAGGTATTATTAAGGTAATTAGAAAACGATCACAGTTCAGCAATAATATTGAGCTGCAAAGGTTGTGAATAACCAAATTTAGAGACAGGCCTGCAAACACTAGTCTTCAGTGACATTTACGCAACTCTCCTCTAATAATTCTGTAAGCCCGGGGTGAATGGCCCCTTTGTGAGGGGAGTTATTCATTAGCTCCTCAACTGAATTAGAAGAGAACATGCGTGGGTGCGAAACAACTGCCATGAAGACTGATGAGCAAAATGAGGCTTTGATGATCTTCTAATTGTAGTGACAACAATTCATGCGTTTAAAAAAAAAAAAAAAAAAAAGAAGAAAGAAATAATATCAGTCCTGCGAATAATTTTTCATGCCGGTTATTCCCTTTATTCTGGTTCAAAATACCAAATAATAAATCACTGACGTACCATCGCTTTGTTTTCCGCTGACATTTGTGGAGGCTTATGGAGATCATCTGCCTACAAGAAAATACAGAAATAAAAATCTCAAAACACGTTTTCCACTGAAATTAGCATAATGGATCAGTTGACTAAACAAATCATGAGGAAAGATGGTAAAGAAGAAAATCTGTGTTGAGAGAATGTTAAGAAATCACTTCATGTTTTAGAAGGTGAACAAATATCTGCACCTGTTGCAGCTAGTTTTTGGTTTCATAAGGAGCACATCCGAGGTTTTCAGTAGAGTCAGAAGAAATCAGTTGAAAACCTGAAGGAATAAGGAATATGAGGTTTAGCTATTCCTAAAAAGGTGCAGGCTGGCGGAGCCCCCTTTACTTGTGACTGCTGTACAGAGGGAAAGCCTAGCATCCCTCTGGAGAACAGAAGGTTGAAGTTTTGAGAACAGTGTTCAGTAAATACTTCTCTGCAGCCTGTCATTCCCTCAGAGGTGATGAGAATGTAAATAGTTACAATGTAATTAGAAGAATATCAGACTTTCAGACAGGATCTAGGTTAAAGGAGACTTGGGTAAACCAGAAGGAAAGTTTTGCCTTAGCAATGCTGTTAGAAAAAGCCAGCATGGCTCACAAAACTGACTCCCAAATTGTTTTCCCTCTAACCTTTAAACAGGTCTGTGCTGTGTTAGGCAAAAGGCTTCACTGGCTTGTTCTGTCCTTGCAAGGCATAAAGCACTCCATCAGACTTTAATATCTATTAACATTATTATTAACAACCATTTGAAAAGCTCGGGGGAAAAAATGCCCCGGGGGACACCTGGGTGGCATTCTGTGGGATGGAGAAGGAGGAGGAACAAGGGCTATTTTTATTTCAGCTTGCACCGAGGATTTTGCTAAAATTTTTGCCAAGTGCGTTACTCTTTGCCTACCTCAATCAACCTGTGATACACAGTCTATTATTAGAGATACCGAAATGTTAAAAGAATATATATTTGCCTAACCAAGAAAACAGCAAAAAGGGAGTAGTAACTGTGTGTGTGTGTGCAGGACATGCATACCTGCAATTGCAGTGTTTTTGCTGACAGTAAGATAGATTCAATTTTGACGAAAACTTCTGGTGGTGGCATACAAAGACCTAAGGCTCTGAATACTAATGCTGCATCCCTGCACTGGATCTGTGAAAAGCCACCATTGGCATGTCCCAGTGAGAAGTGCTCCAGCAGTCACTCTGAGAAGACATTTTTTATCACCGCTTGCTGACGTGGAAGATCCCACAGGACCACATCCATTACTGCCAAGTTTTAATGGAATTGGGCAGAAATCAGACTAAGATTGCTCTGCCCTCTCCTGCTGCTTTATCCTCCCATTTCATGGTGACTTCAGATTGGGATCAAATCCTGATGAGAAGTCGCAGAACGACACCCAAGCTGTCACGGCTCCTGTCCTCAGCGTGGGGGCCCATGGAATTCCTCCGTCACTGGCAGGAGGTGACCTGGGCTCTCTGGGATGAGTCCCTGCTGAAGGCACACAAATGGGCTGGTGATCCCAAACACCCAGCAACTTTCCTTCTGCTCAGGAAGGCGGCTAAAGGGCTGCACTGGACAAGACCATGGCTGCCCAAAGGAGATGGGCTTTAAATTGCTGTTCTTGAGTGGAGTCAGACCCGGGCTTTGATGTTAAAGTGAGAGGCAGCTGAAGCAGTAGGGGCAAGAGGAAAATTCTTGGGGCCGAGGACAAAACGCATTTCAAAATGCCAACAGAAAGGCATCCAAATCGCTGCTGAGCTGTCCAGGACACTGGTTATCTCTCCACATGGTAACCTAGTTTAATGATACTCTTGTAATTGTCATCAAGCTCATCTCTGGAGCTTGAACTTGAGACCTTTGATCTTAAATTTCAGTGCTCTCAGTCATCTGAAATAAAGGTGCAGTCCTCTTGAAGTAGAAGAAATCACTTATGTCTCCATCCATACGAAATAGCCAGGTTGGTTTATGGGGGTTTTCTGCCTGGTTTTCTGGCACTGAGGAGGAAAGAGCTGTGCCCCCCTGCCTGCTGGCGGCACCTCCTTTTGCTCTGCCCCAGGTCCCACACGTGGCAGCAGCGTGGTGGGGCGTGCAACTGCTTCGTGCTGAGGCAGGAGCACGGGCTGGCTGTTGGTTTCATGCTTCTAAAGGGGTCAGCGTGTCACCAAAATTGTAACCTCAGCCCGGAGTAGCGTAAGATATTTTCCTCCTGCGAGCGATGGCTGTTTTGTGGCAGCAGATGGCGGCTGGGTAGAGCAGACGTTGTGGGAGGTGTGTTTGCAGTGCTAGTGCTGCTGCTGTGAATCTCCATCAAAGGGTGGTGAGGTGGTTTTGTTTTGTGAAGAAAATGAATGGAAAATGTGAAGTGATGAGGGTGTTTAAAAGGACAGCAAGGAAAACAAATACATATGTGATCTGACTTGCCACTTGAAAACACCCAGGGGTTCTTCATTGCCAAAGATTTTTGTACAGATGGCACACAGAAGCCGTAAAGGCCTTCACCTGGTGAAAGAGAAATGCATCCTCCTCTTCAGCAAGGCAGGGGCAATCTGTGAGCTCCTTGGGGGAGAGACCATCTCATGTTTCGTGTCTGTATAGCGACCACCAGTGATGGCCTGGTCCAAAGTGTTACAAAATCACCCAGTAATAATAGATTTGTCCTGTCCCACAGCCTTTCCTGTCATTCAAAGCAGATGCACATTTAGAGGCCAGTTGGTAAATGAATTTGTAGAGGATTTGATTGTGCGTCTGATGCCCTCTGGAAGCAGGGACTAAGGTGACACGTGCCAGCATGTACGTTCTGAAGTCCGACTGTGTTAGCGGAATGTCCGTTTATACATATGGTTCAGCTGCTGGAGTCCAGAATCAACAGAAAAACTGTGTTATCAAAGGCAGAACTAACAGAAAGAAAATGCCATTAAAAAAGGAAAATCTATAGGATTATTTGAAAGAAAATACTTCTAAACTGAAAGTGTTTTAAAATCTAATGCATCTTTAACTGCAATAAGCTACAACGTTCACCCAAATGAGACAAGAATGTTGTTATACCTGTTATACCCAGACATCACTGATGTAGGTTACGTACAGCAAAAAAATCTACATTTGAACTGATCTTGGCTTACAAATGAGGACTATTTAAAGTGAGCTTAAGTGGCAAGAGCGTTGGAAGGAAAGCTGGTAATGCACACTTAAGTCTCCTATTTTAAACAGATTCAGGCACAAAGGATGAATCTCAGATGCTACATGAATGGTTTGAGCTGGTCCTGGAGAAGAATAAATTAATGCGTTATGAGTCTGAGCTTCTGATTATGTAAGTAAGAACAAGCGTTAGTACTAAAGATGGGGAAGGGAGAGGGGAAAAGCGTGCTCACAATACACCCGAACACCTCGATGTGTGCTGCAGCAGTTTGAGACTGGCATGGAATAAATGTATCAGAATAGCTACAATCTGGTCTGAACACAGACTTTCAGCCGAGCCCTTCTCGTCCTTCCCTCTCATAGGGGTTCAATTATTTCAATTCCATATGATACTCTAACCAGTATAGCATATATAGGTGCTCTGCCTTTACATAATGAGGATCTAACGAACACTGGGGCACTTTCTCCTGTGGAAGAAAAATAGTCCGACAAGTTTATCTCAGTTTTGACTGGATATAGGAGAAAAGATCTAGGAACTCACTACTGTGATGAAACGAGCAGAACCACCAAGCAAATAAAAACTGTCTCAGATGCCACTGTTTGTGGTTGATGGAAACTATGCTGGCTGTAGCTCCCTCACCTCGCCTCCTTGGAAATGCAGTCAACAGATAGGCGGAGGTGACTCTCATTTATTTTCTCCACTATTTCTGGGTAATGTGGGAAGGCGATGAGAGCTGCAGCAGTCATTACTCACCCCTGGATTTCACACCAGTGCAAGCTGCTCGTTGCCATTTATCATTTCCATATCACTCAGCCCCACATGTGTGCAGAGCTGCAGCCCAGCCACTAGCTCCAGCTGCACCCCAGTTTCTCCCAGCTGTGCTGATGCTGCCAGGGGCCAAATCTCTTCTTTCCCCTTCAGTTGTCATTGGGCCTTGTGGGTAGTAATGCTTCCTGCTCACACTGTCTGCAAAGCAGAGTTAAAAAGCAAAAGCCATCTGCTTTTATCACTGCAGGACACAAAATGTTGTCTGGCTGTGTTCACATGTGTTAATTCCCTTCCTCGGGCCGTTGCTGTGCAGAGGGCCTGGCAGGGCCCTTGGTGTGTGAGAGCATGTAGCCCTATCCAGGATCACGTTGTGGGTGCCACCGACACATCGCTGCTGGTCAAAGCCTGAAGTGTTGCAACGTGTGAGGGATCTTAATCTGATGCATCACGCAGAAGGTGGTAGTGGTACTTCTGGTGTAGCCGTGGCAATGTAGGTACAGGCAAGGCTTTTAGCCTTGACTGCCCACGAGGAGAAAATACTGGAAAAATAGAACACAGTCTCTTGGTTGAAGTAATATTAACATATGTGTGTCTACTGAAAAAAAAGCTTTATTTTTTAACATACCTTTTATTGTACCTAGAGCCCAAGAGTTAGAACTGGAGGACCACCAAAGCAGGTTGGAACAAAAGCTGAGAGAGAAAATGGCCATTGATGGTAAGTCAAAGGCACTCTAGCCCACAGTGACAGTCCAAAAAGGACCAGAGTGTCTGAGGCTCTTCCCCCTGTGCTCTTCTGGGTGCTGCTCAGCCAGCAAAGTGCAACTTGTGAGATCTCCTCTGCCTTCTAGACAGCTAAGCGGGCCTGTGCAGTTTTACACTGAAATGGATCAGAAGGAAGCACTGGCACATGTAATTCCAGTAACTGTGCTGTGCGGGCAGCAGCACCCAGCTAACCTGCGATGATGGCCAGCACTGCAAAGTCGTTTTTTCAACCACCTAAACACGAGAGGTTATCTGCTTTTACGTTAATTGTAGCATTGCTGGCTACTGCAGTATTTTGGAACGGCTTTTAGGTACTTGGGATTGCAGTTTCAGCTTGTGCTTTCATTTGATGTTAGAACAGAGAACATGGGGAAAAGGAATGCAGGGAGAAGGGGGGTTACACAGCACTGAATACCCCAAAATATTCTGTTGCATTCTAAACATATGGATTGTAAGTGATGGCAATTTTCAATACTTTTTCTGGAAAACACTTTCCATTTTCTTACAGGTACTATTTTTCATGGTTGGGCTTTTTACCTTGTATAAACTAAATTTAAACTCCAGCTTAAATGTTTTTATAAACAAGAAGTGCTCTTCCTACCCCTTGCAGTCTAAGTCTTGTTAAAAGATTTGCTCTAGATATTAGGAGCCTTATTGGTCAACCTTAAATGGCCGAAACGCTGGAGACATTTTCCCTGAACGGTAACATGAAAAATATTAACTGCTATTGACTTAATTTGTCATTGGCTCTAATATTAATTCAACCCGCACACCAACAGTTAAAATGCAAAGTGTAACAACAGTGATCTGGATTTTAACCTCCTGGTTTTTGATCTTTTAGATAACCTTAAAGATGAGATGGATCTGAATGAGGAGGATGAAATTTTTACTGAGATGATGAAAGTGGTTGAAGAAAGGGACAAACTCGTGTCTACCTTAGAGGAGCAGAGAGTGAAAGAAAAAGCAGAAGACCAGCACTTTGAAAGCATTGTATTATCCAGAGGCTATCAGCTGAGCAGGATTTAAACAGCCACATGCAAATAAACATGATTTCAGCAATATTTGTAATCATGGAGGTACAGTCTTCTGAAAATGAAGGAATTCATATTTAATATCAGTTTATTTGGGAAACCTGTCATTTTGTTATCAAAAGCTCTTCAGCAGTTCTTTTGCTCATACTGGAGTGAGTCATTTCACTATCACTTAAAGGATCACCAAACAGAGAATAGGACTGAATTTAACTTGTCTGATGGGCATCAGGGTCTGTGAAAGGGGAAATCAGAGCTCTGTTGTTTTCTTGGAATTTTATTTTAATGCTGAGAATAGAGTTCCTGAGAAACACGATGACATCATTTAGTATTTTTGAGATTGCATTGCTTCCATCTGTCTGAATCTGTATGTGTTTTTTGTTAATATTTTGGTACAGCCAACCCATGTTGAGCTACTTAAAGGTCAGAAAGCAAGCATCTCATAAAAACAAGGTTAGTTTTTATTTCTGGTGGAGGAAGGGTTGTTTGACCGATAACTACATAGAAGCACTCATTAAAACTGCTGTAAATGCAATGTCAGAAATTAATTTTCCAGGTATTTGTAAGTTTTAGTGCACTGTATTTTTGATCAAGAAGTTAAAGCAATATTAAATCCCTACATTTTGTAAAATGGTAAGGGATTATCAAAGGAGTGACTACCCTCAAGACTGTTACACGCTCAAAAAAGCTTTTGTATGTCACAGATTAAGGTCTTCTCTAAAATATGCTAAATGATAATTTAAAAATAGTAATCCAGACTAACATCACAAATAGTATCATAGCATGTGATGAGTGGTGTAGCAGTTAAAGATCTCCCTGAGAATAATTTCTCAAAAGGATTCCAAAATAAATGGTGAGTTTGCAATATCAACTTTTGATAGAAAAAGTCGTAGGTATATTTAAAGAAGGTTTATCCTGCTGCTCAAGAACATGTTTGCATATTTTTTGATTAAAGGAACTATCTCTTTTTTGTACATGCATTTGTAGATACTGGCAAAGCGGATGTGCAGAAATTCTCCTTGGTATTTAGTGTAATATAAGTATTTTCTTAAATCTGAGATAATCCTGCAATTTAAGATTGGTAGCATCCCCAACTGTATGTTTGATGCACTACATTTTCAAACTGAAAAAACATGGAGAAACTGAAAGACTGTTTCTTTTCGGATATCATTTTACCTCCTGCTCTGAGAAGATTTGATGTTCTCATTATTTCCTGACTGGTGCTAATTTGCAGCGGTTGCCTATGGTACAGCCAAAGCTTGAAGCATTCCTCTTACAAAAGTTTTAAACTAAGAACCTCTTGGTAAGTACTTGTAGGGTAACAGACACACTGGATCCTGTCACAGTAATTTATGAATGATCTTAAGTTTTTGCTGTATTGTAAGAAATTCAAAATACCCTTTCTAAAGATAAAAGCAAGATTTTACTGTTGACCACAGAAAAATAATATACCTCTCTTGGTGCAAGGAATATACTATTGTTCTGCAATATTTATGTATTTATATTTATTTATTAGACTGTTTAAAGAAGGTAAGAGTGTCTGGTTACATTTTACAGTTTGGATGTTGTCTCTGATTTTGATTGATGAATGTGTATTTCTGACAGCAATGAATAGGTGAAGCTGTGCATAGTAGATAGCTTTATCAACCTGGTAAATAATTAGTAATAAAATATGAATTAAGATTTTTAAACAACAGTTTCAGTTACCGTAACTTGAAGGGATACCTTTGAAACATAGCATATAGGGCTTTAACAATATTAATTTCTCTTTCATTGCAGTGAAAAGGCATAGCAGAATCCTTAAATATCTTCCAAATTACCATCAGACATATTTTTTTTCCTGTCATTCCTAGGCTAAGCATACCTGATCTTCAGATTACGTTTTTATTGAGGTGGATAGCAGCGATTGATTTTTTTTAAAAAGTAAGTCTGTTACTTAAGATCCTCACAAAGTAGGAGCAGGCAGGGCAGCAATAAATATTTTAATTTTCTCTGTTGATATCTGCTGGTATTTCCAGTTTTGTGGAGAAAATTTCTGGATTTTATCACTGTTTGCAGAAGCCTCATGTAATCCCATAGAACAAGACGGTCTAGAACATATCTATCACAGTTTTCTGTAAAAAAAAAAAAAAAAAAAAAAAAATGCTTTCAGAGTATTTATTAAATGTTTTAAAGCAGAATTCTTAGTGCTTTGCACAGAAGAGAATTAGCAGACACCTCCAGTTATATCGGTCAAAGATTGGTTTGTTCACCTCACTTTTACAATCTGAAAAGTCCTTAGTGTTGCTGCTGTGCAAAGAGGAAGAGGACGGGCACATTCAGAGAAATATGCTGCCCCTAGTCCTGAGGAGGAGATTGCTCTCCTCTCCCGAAGTGCAGCCTGCTTCCCCAGGGGAGATGCCTGCACTGCAGTCAGTCGGGTTCAGGTCGCTGAACTGTATATTAGCCCTGAGATTTCAGTTTACAGCAGATACCTGTCGGGCTACAAAACTAAATGCAAAAGGGTGTTTTCCTTTTAGCTCCAAAGATTTGAGTTCTTGAGACTATTACAGTCAACAGAAGGTGAGGCCATCAGCATCTTACGGACCTCAGAAATATTCTTTGCTAAAAAGATACTTTTCTGGATGCCATGTGGTCTTAACACACGCTTCACCCAAAACTCCGTCTGCGCTTGGGAGGGAGAACCTGTCAGGCCACTGTTACCCTGCCTGATATTAAGTACCTCACAAGATTAGAGCCAAAAATGCACTGGGCAAGTGATTTAGAAAAACAATAAACTCTTAAGTCATTTAAAGCAGCTCTTCAGATATCATAAGAGTAGAGAAGGAGGGAAAAAAAAGGAGAAGCTATGTGCACTGTTCACAGGTCAATTTAATGTGATTGGCTTGTATTAGACATGTATTTAAACACTGGTTTGGTTACAAGTCTTGCTGCTGAATCTTTTCTGTAAAATGACTCACTAACATCATAGATTTGTTAATTTTTAAGTCCTTGGCACTGTCATTGTTGGGTATAATGGGATGTGCTGGAACGTATTGACTATGTGTAAATGGGCTGGATGTGAGCAATTTTGTATTTGAAAAAATAAAATTATATCTCACTCTCTGAAGTCCCTGAATCATTTTCATAGTAATTTCTTTCCACCAATATCTACAGTGTAATAACGTGTCTAGGAAAGATCTATAAGTAAGAAATTATATGTTTCTTAATATACTGGTAAGTAAATCACACTGTCTCACAGTTCACAGATTCATTTTATTGTTTAGGAATAATGACACCCTGAGGTTAGAGGGCATTCAACTCTACCTTTAACACAAGAGCCTGCAAATGCCATGAGATCAACTACTCCCTCACATTCTTACAGAGGAATTCACCACCTGTTTTCCTTAGGCATGATATAGGAATTAAATCAGTTCCTTGAAGACTTGGAAAAGTGTCACTGAATGGATCACTAAGAATTGGTGATCAGAATCTTAATTGCCAATTTTCAAATTCCACTAACTTTACTTCTGTTAGGTCATCTCATTTTGTTGCTTTCTACCAGGGGGAGAGCCTTACAGAGCAAGACAAGGTGCTGCTCGACATGAGAGGAGTGGATAAGCAAGATCTGGGCTTTCGTTAGTGCCTGTATCCTCGTTCCCTGCTCAAGTGACTCTGAACTGATGGATAGTTCTCTCCTCTTCACAGGACAGATGGACAGCTGCTTCTCCTGAGAGGTCAAGGTAATTTTTTTGTCATATTTCAACTGAGGTCTGTCTCCTACTGTCACGCATTTTCCCTTCCATGTTGTGTGTGTCAGAGCAGATGGACATGGTGGTGGCCCCTCTGAAAGTACCACACATGCATTCTCAGGACTGCATGGGAATGACCTGCCTGCTAGGTTTATTGGAAGCAATACATCAAACTTATTCACGTTCAAAACCTTGCAGCCATGCTGAATTCTCACCCAGCTGTTCAAAAGCTGGGGGACTTGGCTGGCCCAGGAGCAGGATGTGGGTAGAAATACCACTGCAGGAATCAACTGAGGTGCTTTGAGGCATTCCCCTCCCATTCACAGCACACACACACACGCCCCTTGTTCCTTCTTCAAAGATCATAGGGCTAAAAAAACGCAATTGCACAAGAAGTTAATGAAAAGGATTTTATAAGTCATTGCTTGAGTCATGATCAATCCATTTGCCCCCAAGGTAAAGGAAGGCCTCACTAATTTTTCGGGTATTTGGCCAGGTTTCTCTGGGCACAGGCAACAAACCTAGAGGTCTTGTGCTTTCGTTTTAGCCCAGTGCATATTTGATTGCAACTAAGAATTTCACTTCAGCAGTCTCTTTCCAGAAAGATAGGCTGTTTTCTTTTCTTTGTTTGAGCAAATAACAGGGCGTGGTTTAGCAGATTGGAGATTCTGTGTCTTTTAAGACTGCTGCTGCTAAGATCTAAAGCTGTCCTTGCTGGGTTTTGCATGAACCATAGAGTTTTTGCGCAGTTCAGCGCGGTGGGTTTGCCGTGTTAGCATGCAAACACTATCCCTGGAGTCTTCATGGCAGCCACATCTCGTGAACTTTGTGACGAGTAAGGTATTTGCTGGATTTCGCTACAAAAAATACATTGCCATTTTTAGGAATCTGGCTGGAAATACTCTGATACTTTTATGAAGCTATGTTAATTTATTATTTGTTACTTATTCAAAGAGAAGATTCTTATCCCAAAGAAGTTACAAGCTGAGTAAAACACACAGCTCTGTTTTAAATTCAAGCATAAGCATATGCTCAATCTTAAATTCACCTTGTGAGCAGGAGACAAAGTTATCTTCAAGTCCAAGTTTTAGATGGTGGTGGCAATGAAAATTTGGACCCCCTCTACCCCGATACTGATGCTTTCTGCTGCTGTAATGTAGCCACATTGGGATGGTCAGTCAACCCTGGGCCTGTCTTACAGGGTCTGAAATCAGATGCAGCAAAGTCCTTTGGGACGTGCAAATGTTCCTGTATGAGTATGGAATAAGAGATGTGGATGGACAAAGGCCAGCAGTGTGGCTGTGCTTTAGCCTGCTCCCTGCACTGCCTTGCCCAGCACGGGGCGGAGGTGGCCACTGCCCGCAGCCTCGTGAAGAGGAGTGGGGCTTCCTGGTGGAATCCAAACCCTCGTTCCTGCGGGGCAGGGCTGGAGGCCGCCGTGCTTCCCAGCCTCCCAGGGTGCCAGCGGTGGCCACAGCCTCACCTCACCTGGGGAAGCAGGTGCCTGGCGTGTCTTGCTCAGACACGTGCAGGAGCACCAGGTCCCGCCAGAGATCTCTTCTCCAGGGATTTTGGGGCACTCTCTGGAAAATCCTGATCAGGAAATAGATGTTAAACATCCACAAGTAACCTGTATGGAAAAGCCTTCTTTTCTAAGCAGGCTCTCTTCTACTGCTGTTAACTATTACTCAGGGTGGGGCGGGCACGTTCAGAGTTAACCACACAAAGGTGACAGGACAGGAGAAGGCTGACTGCGAGTACTCAGAAAAAGGGTAGACTTTGGTCTAGTTTTGTTCTTCCTGAAGTCAGTGGTGTTACTGTAGGCAATCGCAGCAATAGCAGTAGGTCGATAGAGCATTTTTGAAAATTCCATTTCCATTCTTTAAATGACTGGACAGTCAGAAGGCTGGAACAGAGGTACACCTAGCAGAGAAGTGTTAGGAGAAAACTCTAATAATTTATTGTACAGCCTTTAGAGCTTGGCTGCTACAGTGCTCTTTCTTACTAGCCTAGCCCATGGTCGGTGTGTTATGTACTCCGCCTCTTCTGCCTCATTTACAAAGTAAGACTTTAGTTTGTGATCGTTCTGAGTCGCGTAGTAAAAGAAATAAAAACCAGGTGCACATGGACAGATGTGAAGGTGAATAAGAATTATTTGAAGTATGTGGATTTAGCTTGCTTTTATTGCCTGGCAAAAGTATATATGTGATCAGGATGCAATTAATTTGAGCTACTGGTTGGCTCATCTGCAAGAACAAGGCGCTGACAGGGAGCACGGTGAGAGCTCTTGTGCTCTGCTCCAGAATTCTAGATGCCAGATGCAGTGGGGCCAGCCCGCACAGCAGCCTGCTGACTACTGTGTCCTGTGCGGGGGATCGTGGAGCACGATCATGAAAGTATTCAATTATCAAATATAAAGCAGAGTAAAAACACAGCCAAACAAAAATCCCCGCTGAATTTCTACTACTGCAGCTTTTATTTGTGGTTAAAATACTGTATGAGTAAGAGCTAGGCATTTAAAGTCAATATTCCTGTATCTTTCATATCTTAGACCTTATGCAGACCTGTAAGGCCCTTTGTGCTGAATGCAATGCTAATTTAAGGTCATATATCCCCAGATCAAAAGAAAAGTAGCACATGTAGTTCTAAATTTAAGATACGGGGGAAAAAAAAGTTGTAACAATCCTCAAAGAGAGACATCCTAAGTGGAAAAACACAGCAATATGTTATACTCAAAGAACTGCAAATAAATTCTGAGAGAAACCCATAAAAAACCCCAACCAGTAAACTTAAGTCTGTCTGTTGCTTTAGCATTATTAAAGCACACAGTATTTGTTTCCAGATCTGATAAAGTTGATTTTAAACACATTAAGGTTAATTTAAAATTTATTTTCTCCTGGTGATTTGAAACACCCATAGCTCATGAGTCTATTAAATAAGTAGCATTGCATTTGTCATTAATTTACATATACTGAGTGTAGTCAAATAGGAAAGAAAGCTGCTCGGTCTTTTCAGCTATTTTGTGTGAGACTTGGCATGTTGAATTCTGACTTTCCCGTACTGCACAACCCAGCACCCATTACTGTTCATTAGGTATCTCACTTGTTCTTTCTGCCTTTAACACAAACGTAGTGGTACAAAGGCAAGCAAACTTGTGCTTGCCAAAATGCCATCTCTTCTCCTGTGCCCACAAAATTCTATATTGACATCTACCTATAGTCACTTGGGTCCAAATGGAGATTGAGTTGGGTCATTGCTCGGTTTGTAAATGCCACAGATTCACATGCATAAAAAAAAGGCTTGACGTGTTTGTTTCTCCTTCTTTTGAAGTAGTCTTTTATTATGTTCCTAAAAATTATTCACAACTGTTCATCTCCTATTTTGTACACTGGGTGAGTAGCACCTCTGTAAAAAGAGAGTGATGCGTGAGATTTGGACTGCTCTGTAGACAACAGCCCCTAGACACAATCCGTGCCACGGGTCAGAGAGCAAATGTAGGGAAAGGAGAGCTTGTGCTAACGGCCTGGGCTCCTTCCTGCTTTTAACTGATGGCAGTATGGATGAATAAAGTTTTTCTCCAGGGCATATACTAACTACATGCAACAAATAGGCATTGATGTCTACCTCCCATCAGGCTAACCGATGTTACCGGCTTGTAAAAACACAACAATTATTAGCTGATTTAGAAATATCCTCATGGTAATTTCATTTCACTTATTATATCTAATGGATAGCTAGATATTTGCATGAAGTGTGTGTGGCTTTTTGCCTGAATTGTTAATCGAGTGATTAAGTGGTAAGTGAACGGAGTGCATCCAGATGACATTAATGCTGTTCCAGCACTGGGTGCCTCCTGAACCAGTCACAGCAAATTATCAGTTTTAAAGATACTTCTCTCTGAAGATACTCATCTGCAACTCAAAGCAGAGTTGGTACAGGGAATCCATCACGCTCAGTCCCCTTTCTGTCGCACTGGCTTTTACACTGGTCTGACTACAGTCACTGGTTTCTCTCGCAGAAGTGCCCGTGGCGGTGCCCACCGCCTCTGACCGCAGATGGAGCCGAGACGTGCAGGCAGAGGAGCTGCCCTGCAAAATGTGCCCGGGACTGACATGTATGCAGTAAGCTTGAACTTGGGCAGAGCCGCCCTGGTACCCGAGCTGTTCCGCGGGGGCTGGCCGCAGGGTGCAGGAGCACCTGCCGTCCCTCCCCGTCCCTCCCCGGCGAAGAGCCGCGGGCTGGCCGAGCCCTGCTCCTGCCGGCCCACACCTGCGCTGGGCTTCCCGCACCAGGTTGCCCCCGGCCCCCGCCGCTGCCGGGCGCTCTCCTTC